AAACCGGTGCACCCATCGGAGTCCCTCCGATGGGGGGACCATTGAGGGCCTCCCCGACTGGTCCAATGACACCAACTTAGGGGAAGGTGAACTCCCTCGGTCGCAATGACCTGGGCATTTTAGAAGGCATGGCCACTGCATGCGAACATCGTTAGCAAAACAGTTTGCTGCATGCGAATAACAAAACTGGCTAGGGTAATGGTACTTACTCGGTAAAGTTTCTATGGTCGTTTCGAGATTGAAGAAACTGTATTTTCGCAGGTTCGCAGTTGTCACGAGCAGCCTCGCATCGCGACTTTGTTCCGGCAAAAGACCGAAAGCAGTGATCCTGTCGAAATTAGCAAGTGCCAATAACCTGGTCGTCTTGTTGACTGCGAAGAAACAAAGAAAGTTAAAAACAAAGACAGAAGGAAAGAAAATTTGCCAAGAAAATGAAAGGAAAAAACCTACTCGGCTCCCTTAATTAGTAAATGCCATCATAGTGAAAAAAGAAAAAAATTGTCTCATATGCCCCAACGTTGCTGGGGTAAATGTGTATTCCTCCCTCGATCGTAGATTGCTTCAAGAGGTAGAAAGAATCTTTGTCTTTGCTTTTTCTTCAAATAATACGAGCAACCGAGCTCTAGCGCGATTAGCTCGCCTAAACCGTTCTCGCCGTATACGATATACATAACCACAGCTATCATATACGCATTTGGCATAAGCTGTAATGGTGCGACCCTAAAATGATCGAGGACCGACCTAATAAAAGGGTGGAAGGGGATCAGCGCTCCACACTTAAAAATGATCTCGGAGATCATAACCATTCCTTCTGACGGATTCCAAGCTGTGTACGTCCTATGTTGGTAGACCTCCACGCTAAGTGCGTATTGGTCTACCGCTTTTTGAATCTCCTCTACGGTGGCTATTGACAGAATCTCCTGAGAGGGACCCGCCGGGGCATCCTGCACTGGCAAGCTCATTCCCTCATCTGTCTTGGTCGCTAAGGGGTCCATTTTTCTTGCGGTCTGAAAAAAGCGACATGCAGGAATTACTTAGTCGTCGTACACTATTTCATATGATGACGTGGAGGAAAAAGTAAACACTATCTTCCTCAAACCCTAGAAAAAACCCTAAAGAATCCTTGGGGGCCACCCCTAAAGACTCAAACCCTAGGAGAAAATGTACTCTCCGATCAAGCACTAGCAAGTGCTCACCGTTACCACATGGCTGCTGTCAAAAACAAAAAAAGGAAAGTGATAAAAGAATCATTCTTACCTCTTGAGTATGAAGATTGATCTTTCTGCTCTGAATGTCAAGTACGCACCAGTCTAAAAGACGAAAAATTGAGGCTCACGAAAGCTTATTGTTCTCTCTGAAGAAGTGAGTATTGTGACATTGCTTAAAGTGAGCATAAGGTTTTATAGTGAAAGAAGTGGCACTGGTTTTCCCGAAGTCAAACGATGTTTGAACGGAAATAGTCTCTCACTGTTGATCGCAACCACGTGTCGTCAATCAATGGGAAAGAGTAACTATCACGCTTCGAGAAATCAAATTGTCGTTTCTCTCCGTTGAAATACTCGACCGACGGCTCGCTTCCCTCTTCCACATTAAATGCACTCACATCCGCATTTAATGTTCTGATAGGGAATGTCGTTTCAGCATGGATCACATTTAATACACATGGCTGTCACTTATTGCGCATAGGACACGTCTATCAGAGCAAAATGTGTTTCATTAATGTATCAGCTGTCAAAGCGTAACGGATAATATCTGAAGAGGTTGTTAGATAAAACACTCTTCATCATGTATCAATTACGAAACGACGTGACCTTTCGCTTTCAACAAAAAATACGCTAAGTGTAAGCAGGTCGCGAACCTCGGTCAAGGCCGTAGTCGTCGTTATGGCATTGGATAAGGTCTGGTACAGGTCACAGACCTTACGAAGAAAAGATTATTTCAGATAGCCTCCATGGAAATGTCTCGCGACCTTCTTGCAACCAGGTCGAATCGACCAGCGATCACTCGACACATCAAATCAAGGCATGATTGTGTAGTTTTCAAGGTTCGATCCTCAAACCTTAAAAATTAGGGGACTTCTGTTATGCTTGAGAAAGTAGGGCTGACGCCGAGCCTTGTCAGCAAGAGCGATCACAGCTTGAGAAGGTTCTACAACCGCTCAGATGCAGCCACATCGTGTGATGACGCGAGCAGCATGCTCCTGCCAGTGCAGTGGGTATGCGCCGGGTTGACGAAAGGCTAGAAAAGGTCCACGTGTCCAATCCCTGCACAAATCGAGGAAATCACTCGGGCAAGTGAGCAATGGGCCGCAGAGAAGGATTTGCACGGCATCTGCCCCACTCACAGATTTAGTAATCATTACCTAAATTCATCCCACTATAAGTAGAGGGCTCCTCTCCTGTTTGTGGGATTGTCTAATTTTACTCTGAAATAACATATTTTCTCTCTCTCTCTCTCTCTCTCTCTCTCTCTCTCCAAGCTATAATTCAGCTCGCTGAACGCGACCTGACTTCATACATTAATACAATACTAGTGAACGTAGGATTTGTTTTTTGGGCATCCGAACTACTTTAAACACTGTTCTTCACCCCTTATTCAATCAAACACCCCCATACTCACGTGTGACTTCTGAGTCTGCTGAGCATTTCCCACGTGCGAATAGTTGGTGTCAAAATCCAGCATTAACAATTGTGAGCTACGTTAACGACCTTTCATATCAAGAATCATCCAAGTCACCTGTGTTGAACAACGTTAATGCCCTTTCGTATCAAAGAATAATCATCACCGCGTTTATCCCATCCATTTGGATCAACTGCCAATCGACAGCCACTTAATTTTGGCGTCGAGTTAACTTGCGTTTGATAATGCTCTACGAGAATTCTTATCTTAAATTGGTATTACTGTCACAAGCACAACGCTACTGGAATCTTTGATTTCAACTTGTTATCATTCTTAAAAGCAAAATTTGACCTGGAACCTCCCGAAGAAAATTGTGCTTGTATTATTTGTATTATTTGTCTCTACGTAAAAGAAGAATTCAAAATTTTCAATAATTAAAGAAATTAAACTGCAAGTTGAAACAGCCAAATATATATATATATATATATATATACACACACAACTTTTAGCTTGTTTTATCAGTGAACAGAGTAAAATGGGGCATTTATTCGGTAGAGTTGTCTTGCTAAAGAACGAGACCGACCGCGTGATAGAACTCAAAGAGAGCCGCCGGTCTGCCCCTCATGGTCTTTATTCATATAAAATCCGCCTAGATCCTTTTCATGAAAAGAAGATCGGTGCCACCATGTTTCACCGACGCACCAAACTAGCAGCAAGACCGACTGTGATCAGAATATTTGTTGATGGTGTTGATTTGTTTGATAAGGTTCTAACTCCTCAAAACTTTATTGATTATTTTCGAATATCGTTTAGAGCAGGTGAAGACGAAAAAGTGATTGTTACAGGTGTTAGAGCAACACGGAGTGATCAGTTTCGCAGTACCAGGTATTTTGATTAATTTTTCTTTCCAATTGAGTTGAGGACAATATCAGAATACACTGATGATCATAACTATATAAAATATGAATATCTTTTCCTGGATGATATTAAATTTTTTTTACCTATGTTTGTCAGGCTTGTAGGTAGTTTGATTAGTGGCTTGCGCTTTCTGATTGGAAATGATGAACATGGGGGCCAAGAGGAAGATATTGTCTAAAAAATTGTTACTTGTATTGTATATATGGACTGTAGTAATATAGGGTAATACACAAGAAGCCTGTATCAGTACCTTGATATCCTATTGGAACGAAAAACAAAGATACATGTATATACGTACTGTTTATATAAAACATTCAGGCATGCCAGAATAAGGGTTATTGTACGTGGTGTAAGTATATTAATCTGTATTTGTATATACTGAATATGTGCTATTCTGTATGAGAAATTTAAGTACTGTAAATTCTTGTTTTATTTAGCTGTTCAAAAATGAAATTCAATTGGATTATCAGTCCATTAGACAACCTGTATTAATCTATTCCAAACCACGAACTAAGTATATATTACATCTTCCTTTCGTTATATATATAGGTATTAGTAGTTATATTCTTTGAGAGAAACCTCATGATTAATGAAAAATATTGTTCTTTATTACGGTGTAATTGCACCTATTTTTCTTATCCTGCATCATATATACACTTTGTTGGAATCTCACACCGTCTAGGTGCACTCAAGTCTATTAGTTTATAAGAGAGGGTAACCCTCTCATTCAAAATGTCTTATTAGATGAGGAGTTAAACCCACTTCAAATTCTATCATATTATTAGAGTTATGTCTAATCAAGTTTAGTTTTTGATTAGCATATAAGGAATTAGAATCAGTAACTATCTGCATCAACAGGCATGACCTATCATATGGGATATTAAGATACATTTTTGCTCATCTTGCAGGTTTCTGTTGTAATTGTGCTGCAATACAATCCGCCACTAGATTGGATATATCTATCATGTATCAATTTTCTGCTCTGTTGAAATTTTGCATTTTTTTTTTTAAATCCTTATTTTGCTGTAAACTTTGAATTCAGTTTATTAATTAACACAAACTTAGATGACGTTTTCCTTGTACAAATCTTCTATTAGGAGACCAAATTTAAGGTATTTGAGTGTAGTTTAATTACAAGTGAAAATGACTAGTTTGCAATGTGAGAATAACAATAACAAATGCTAAAACAAAAAATCCGAAAGACCCAAAAAAACCATCAATTAAACAAATCCCAAAGTCGGTCATTGTAAATCATCTTTTTATAAGAGTAAGAGCTAATTAAAGTAGAGTTTATAGAAAGAAAAAAAAAAAAATAATAATAATAAAATATAACTTTTATGAAAAATTAGTTAATTATTTGATTAAAAAAATTTAAAAGAGCTTTTTAATATTAATTTATTAATTTTAGATTATTTAACATTAAAATATTGAANGGATTATAACCTTCTTTCACAATTTCTTCCTTAAATCTCTCTGTAACTTAAACCATTATGTTCTTTTCTCAGCCTTTCGGACACTTGTTTCAGCATGATCTCCACGGTTTCTTTCAGCTGCGAGTTACTTAATGACCCGAAAACAATCACTTCATCGATTCTGTTCACAACTCTGGCCTGAAATTCTTTTTCAGCTCCTCTGCAACTTTCATCTCCAAATGGTCAAACCCCAAATGAATTTCTTGGAAATCAAATTACCACCGATATTTGAAGTCATCATTAGAATGGTGTTTTTGAAGTCCATGGTCTACCCTTTATTGTCTGTTAAACGACCATCATCTAAAACCTGAAGCATAACATTCAATATATCACAATGAGCCTTCTCAATCTCATTGAAGAGGATCACACTGTAAGGCCGGTGGCGTACAGCTTCTGTCAGTTGGCCACCATTTTCAAAGCCAACATAGCCCAGAGGCGAGCCAAAAAACTTGGAAACAGTACGTCTCTCCATGCACTCGCTCATGTCGCTTCTTATCCAATCCAATTAGAGACCATCTCCTTTATCTTCAGTTATCAACGTTTTTGTTCCTGGTGATCCCTTAATTTGTTTGATGTGTATAACCAATTTGGCGCCAGCTTCGTCAATCAAGTCTATCGATTTGTCGGGATTAAACCGATCACTGGATCACATTTAACACACAAGTTATTACAGGATCATTCAGGCACTAAAACCTGCTGAAACCGCCTTTTCAAGGAGCATTCTTCTCAATATACTTCTTGTATTCATCAAATGTTGTGGCACCAATGCACTACACCAAGCAAATTGCAAATTATAATGATATTTAAGAAAGAATTGAGAATCATATCAGAATTCAAAGTCAATTAATTCACCCTTAATTCTCCTCTTGCAAGGGCAGGTTTCATGATGTTAGCAGCATCTAGTGCTTGTCCTCCAGTACCAGCACCAATAAGAATCTGAACCTCGTCAATGAAGAAGCTGATGGATCCTTCACTCAGTTTTACTTCATCTATCAAATTTGTCAACCTCTCCTCATATTCTCCTCGATTCGATGCTCCAGCTATAAGCCGCCCATGTCCAAGGCATATATCTGAAATTATTATCAAGTCAGTAATATTCTGCCAAACATTATCACACAAAAGACTAAAATATTTAAAACATTAATTATTAGCTAGAATTAACCTTCTTTCCCTGGAGTTTAAATGAAGAAGTATTATTTGTAATCCTCTGTGCTAAGCCTTCGACTATTACAGTTTTTCCAACACCAGGATCGCCAATCAGACATGGCTTATATTTTTATTTTTGGTAACTGAGGTGTCCAGGCAAGTTTACGTGCACAGTAACTCAACTAATCATCAGGGTTCATTAAACACCCTACAAACCTAAAAGACTAGATAAGTCATAATGTTATTATAGTAGGTGACTCCAAAGTTTGAACCTAAGAATGTAAAGAAATGAGCAAACCTTCTTAACCGTCACGTCAATCCCTTGGGGTTTAGACATGGGCTATTCTTCCTTCTTTTACACAGTATTTGGATGACACATTCAAGTTCCTGTTGCAGAGGATCCAACTTGCCCTAAACAAGAAATTATATTTCTATCAGCCACTGAACAGGAGAGAACACCATTAAATTATTGAATACTAGGCAATGAAGGATGGGTTTACCTCTTTTGCCATTGGGGTCAAGTCTGTAGCATATTTGTTTAGCATTTCCAGCTGAACAGGACCTTGTTTCTCAAGTTTCTCCATTTGATTTGAGTCACTGCCTAGTAATAGTTTTATGGAATTATATCGTTATAAAGATAAAGAAAATAAATAAGTCCTTTTGCAATAACTTTAAGAGATGGCAATAGGCCGCGCGAGAACCGAATACCCCTTGGCCTGGGTCCGACCCCATGACCCTGGCCTGGGCTCAGCCCAAACCCATTACAGGGATGTCGGGTAATGTCCAGGCCTGGCCCGAGCGGCTTTTTGTGACTCTCAGTCTCGGCCCATGTTAATCTATAATTAATTAATAGTATCTCTTATTTTAATCACCATATTTTTTTTGTGTATAAATTAATATGGCGGACAAGTGACATTGGATTTAACTAAAATTACAATCGATTGTTATCATAAATTCATTTCAAAAGTATAATCAAATAAAATTTAATTTAATTTTTTTTTAAATGATAAAAACTCGAGCCAGGCTAGGTGCTGGTTGTCCCGGACTCCTGTACATGGGAGCGGCTTTAAAACCATATCCAGGTCCGTGCTCATCCCTGCAAATAACGGGTAATGCCCAGCCCGTATGGGTCAGGTACCCAAAAATCCAGGTACAATTGCCATCCTCTAATGACTTAATAATAGCAAGCCTATAATGATAATAATGGGCTTAACAGAAAGATCGCCAACCACTTATCAATTATAACTCGAGGGCCAAGAAGGCAGAACCTTGCCTTGTAAACTTGGACTTCACAGCCAGGACAATGCAGCTAAGTCATTACTTTAAAGTCTTTGAGTTTCTTCCTAACTCTTCCTCTAATTGTTGAAATTATAGGCACAGTGAAATAATTTTAGTTTTGTCATTTACTTTAATTTCAGTAGGATGATCTGAATCATGAATTTGCAAATTGCAGCTCATTCAGCTCAAAATCCAAATGAACAACAACAAAAAAGCTGATTGATTAGAAAATTGCAAAATTTTCATTAACAAAACTGGCCAACAAGGCATTCACATTTCCTTCAGCAGAAACTTTCTCTAGAAAGCTGTCCTCCTTTTGATTTACAGTTTAACTTTAATTAACAGAATAAACAAATGAAACAAGGAAGACACTACCCTGCAAAATGCTGAGCAACATTCTCTTAACCAAAGCATCATTTCCTTAATGTCTTCTGCTTCACATTTACCATCTTCTCTACTTGATCACCAAGCCAACTAATCATCGTATTTACAGCATCCCCATCCTCCACTTGTCCAAAATCAAGCGTGCAACGATTATGCACGCCAAACCCACATGTAGTTCTAATCATGTTCCCCATCTGATCCCTCACATTGCAAAAAACAATGAAAACAACAGAGAAATATGCCTCGTGCTAATAGGCATATACATATCCAATATGAACATAATCACCCACCCAACACGCTGTCCCAAACTGTAAAAAAATACCGGGGACACTAGAGGTGTCAGGTGATGCTCATCGTTGCCTGTGTTAGTCTGTAGTTACCGGACTATTCCAGCTGTAACTTCAACATTCAAGTTTTACTTTTTATATGTTTTAATCATGTGGACGGTGAGGCCTCAAAAGCTTGATGTCTCCTTCAGGCACCTTTGTGCATTGGAAAATATCAGGAGTTCTTCAGCTTGAACCTTGGCCACACAAGAAGATGTCAAGGCAGTATTTGTTGAAATTTTTGACGGGCAGGATCTGGGGCCAATCGTGCGAAACTTAGGCTTGTTTGCTAAGTTGACTTGGACAGAAAATAGGGAATACACTGGTCTGTGGTCTGAGAATCTGGACTCTCCTCTTATATAACAAATTTGTTTAAGTCCTTCCCCTTTCCACAATATCCGATCACACCTGAAATTTTTTCCGAAAAATGGATGCAATATTAGCTTCTAAGCCCTTAATTTTAAGCTATTACATATCACAAAACAGAATTCTCTTGGTATTCAAAGTTCTAGAACATAAGAACATCTTTTACATTCTAATATTTTTTTAAGACTAACGGCACTAAGAATTTCCTTTAACTTGCGACCTTAACCAAAACCGGAGAATTAAAAAAAAAAAAAAAGTTACTTGAAACTTAAGAAAGAAAGTATTAAACAATGGAGATTTGTTGAAAAATGTATTCTAATTAGTGCAACAAAAACATAAAATGGTCGGTTTGTGCATGTTGCATATCAAATTTAATATTAGAAGCAAAGACAAAACTCTTTCCTGCCGACTTAACTATATAATTAACTTAAAAACCTTAAACTAATGTGAAACCAAGAAGGATAGTGCTTAATGATATTAAATTCACTTGGTTTTTCTCTCGAACAATGTATGTTAAGATATAATTTTCACATGATTATTGATTAGTTTTATGGTAATAATTCAGGCTAATCACTTCAGCTTTATAAAAATGCAAAATACGAGGATTAAAAAAATACAAATAGTAATTGCATCCACAAGTCAGCTCAACACTTGAATGAATTGATTGATACTCATTGTCCCCAACATAACAACTTCGAACATGATAATACTAATTAATTAATGATAGTTGGCTTTTATTTACATATTCTTCACAATCATAGATATGTTCAACTGTTGAACCAGCCCATGTTAACGGATGGTTACTCTCAGACAACTGACAAGTTGCATAAAGAATTGAAAAAGGTAATAATATATAAGTAAGAGATTTGTTTAAAAGATAAGATGATGAAGGCAACTTCTTGCTTGTGATGGATAAGAAACCTCTAGAACCCACAATTAGGAATTAAATAAAATTCTGATTCATCTTCTCAATTAATAGCAATAATGCAGGAGGATTTGGAATCTCACCAGGCAGGTGTTCGTCGCTTTTCTTTAGATTTTGATGTTTGAACCACATAATGATCCGAATTCATCAGGTATTTGTAAGTTGGAGGAAAATATATCCTCCCTTCTTCCCACCCTTCAAATACTCGACCGGCTCTCTGTTCAATTTTTAACTGCCAAGGCAAAATCAAAAGGTTATAATCTTTATATTTAACACAATGCAGATATATAGTATTAGTGGCCTAAACATTAAGAGCAACCACTAAATTTATTAACTTTTTTGGCAACATTATTCATGTTCAGTGGCAAACATAAAGCTAATTACCTGATCTCTCTTTAAAAGTGCTTGCCAATCATTTCTCTTTAGCAATTCGTGCGTGTCACCACGACCAGAAGCAAGCCGATAATTTAAATCCCCAAGCCAAAAAATTATGCTGAACACGAACAAAAACAAAAAAAAAAAAAAGTTTTATAAAGTTACCTTAAAAACATTAAACATTGCTGAATTGAAAAGGAAAGAATACTTACTCATGCTCCAATATGCTTTCAGGAGGAAGTGGTTGTCGAAGATCTTTATATGAATGAGAAAACCTTGTTTTCTTTAAAATTTCTGTAACGTCTAAATTTCTTCTGATCTCATCACCTTCTTTCTCTCCAGAGGTCAAGTGTGTACAAACCAAGCAGAAAGTTGTCTGGTGCAGTGTCATACTAATGGATATTGAACCCTGTAAACGAAATAAAAGAAAATTTAAACGTCTGTTTCACTTCAAACAAAAATATTTATAATATACGACCAAAGTTAAGCACGATGAATGACCTTATTTCCAAGATAACCCATAATTCCACGACCAACGCACGAGACCTTCAAGTTGTTTACATGTTTAGAAAGATCAGCTCGAACCCACACACACAAGAATATCCCCACCATCTGTTTGCTAGCTGCAAGACAGTAGCGGCGCTGCCGTGGACTGCCAGCCATGGACGGTGAGTCAGGGGAATCTTCTTCAACAGAGCTCGAATTCGATTGCAAACTTGACAGTCTTGCAAAATCCTCTTGGCCGAGTTCATCTTCTAGAGAGAGGAGATTGGAGAAGCTCAGTCTGGGCTTCAGGTTTGCTTGCTGGTCAGCCTGTTGGGAAGTGGCATCGTTGTAATATTGAGGAAGTTCTTGGTCAGTCTTGTTGTTGTTGCTGTTCAACGCTTGACGAATAAGAGAAAGCCACTTGGCAGCTGGTCCGTTGTCTTCCGCTCCTAATACGTTGCCAGCATTTAGAGGAACAATTTCTTGAAACCTAATACACAGTAGAAAAAGATTGGCAAAAATCAATTACTACAACCGTTAAAATTTTAATCCCTTAAGTTTATATTATTATACATAAAGTCAAATTTTAAAAGGTAAAGATATTTTTACAACTTTATTGTCAAACCAATAAGATATGTAATGTGCATAAGTGATTGGATGTATAGGGCATTAAAGAAATGCCAGTCCGCAAAAGTGAAAAAAAAGTGCACGTTATATACAAAATATGTGTATGTGAGCTGTGGAGCATGTTAAGGTGGCGTCAACCACGGTCCGATTACTCCACAGCCCTGTTTGAATAGTCGATGATGCTCAATCGGCACAAATTCGCATCCACAAACATAAAAAATATTAAGAAAAAAGCAAAAGGCCTTTACCCTAGCACGTAGATGTCCGCAGGGGCAGGCGACTTTAGCCAATCTCTCAAGTTTAAACCGTCGTGGGGCGACTTCCCTCCGACATTCCATGTCCCCACGAACATCCTGAATATTACAAAACAATGCCACCTTCATTATTACTTCTTCAGAATAAACTAGATGCCAATTAATTGGTTTAACTAATCTCATCCCCTTTTTAGATCTGCAAACCTAATCTTCACCCATCTCAAAATCTTCTCAATTAATCCTCACCAACTATTTTTTCAAATAATTGCCTAGCCTTTACAAAAATTAAATCAAGTTAGTCTTTTTATTTCTGAATAAAAATATTTAATTAGTCAGTATCCTTACTTGAGATTGAGATTATCGGTTGGGGGCGGCGGCGCCTCCGGCACGATCGTCGACTGTTTAAGCCCATTAGTAGCGGCCGACAACCACCCTTTAATCAAAAATAAAACTGTCAATTAAAAGAAAGGAAATAAAACAACTGAAAATCCAAAAAAAAGGAAAACATATAGGTTACTGCTTCACCATTGACCTAGTTAATATACACCCCTGTCTGCTCCGTCTAGGTGGCAGAAGCTCACACGGGGACCCAAACCGAAATCACTGCGGGGTGTTTCAGTTTTTGTCGTGGATGTCAAATCACTTAAATTAAACCCGTCTAATCACGGGTGAGGGGGTAAAATCAGTAACGAGTAGTAGTAAAATGGTACCGTTTCGGAGTAAATACCTGAGAAATCATCTCGTACGAAGACGTAATAATCGTCGTCTGAGCAGCTCTTCCTTCTCTCAGTTTTCCCTGCGTTACATTAAAACGCAAATCTGACGATAAATATCAAATATCAAACGATACAGGGAGAAATTATTGAAACACGATATGAAAACATAATTTCACCTGTAATTGCATAATCGGAATGAAACTCATCGGCTCCACTCTGTATGTTAAGCCATTTTCGCGCAACTAATTTTGGCCACCAAGACTGCAAAAAATAAAAAAATAAAAATAAAAAAGAGGAAGAAAGAGCGTTTTAAATCTTAATACTATGCAAGCTAAAAACCGATATTAAGCCGAAAAATGGGGGGCTTGAGAATTAATGTAACGTACCATCTCTGTTCTGTTTCCTCCACAATTTGATTAATTTGAAGACTGCAAAATCAAGCCAATAAAAAGGACAGGATGGCCAATCAGAATAGTGATTGTGATTATCTTGCTGTATTTGCAGAGTATCTGATTATCTTGTGCTATTTTTGAAAGATATTTCTTATTTAAAAGGGAAATATGATTTAATAGTTAAAAGTCTTCGAGATAAACAAATCAAATAGTACAAGAAGAGTGACAGAAAAAAAAAAAAATATTTATCTTTTTATAGAGGCTGAGACGGAGTTTAAATTAGTGTTAAATGGAGTACTCGGCGAGATTATAAAAGAACCAGTTGCAGGGAAAATGGAGACAGCTTCTCAGTAAGTACCGTAGACGGAAGGAAAGGGACAGGAAAAAAAAAATATAATGTAATATACAAGAGACAGTGGTAGAGATGAGGCCAGGTTCATCCTTTTTGGTGATGAGTGAGATGATGAGCAATTCTTTTACAAGCTTCGGCTGTGCCCTTTACAGAGAGGAAGACAGAGTGGAAGATGAAGTATTAAACAACGAAAAGATTTTAGCTTTTCAGATCTTTATTCAAGGATCAAATCTCTACAATCCCATCTCAAAATTCAAAAAGTTGGCTATTCTTTTTTTAAGAAGGAAGGAACTATAAGATTTAAAAATTACAATGAAAAGAAATATTCACAGCTCAACACTCTTATGTCAGAAGTGAAAATCATACAACGAAATATCAAGATCTTGATGATAGGTGAAAATCTTGTTAAGTGATGTGTCCATGAAATATTCAGAGAGAAACGACATTGCTAATCAGAGAACAAAATCAAGAGAGACTGAAGATGAAATGAGAAAAGACGGTAAAAAGAAGCAATACTTGCATTAAAAGAAATAATAAAAGTGGAGAGAAGAGGGACTTACAGGGAAATTAAAGATATGAAGTTTCACAGAGAAGGACGAAACAGATTGTACACGCTTCAGAACGAAAAGATCCCTTTTTTATAAATGATTTTTTTCTTCTCTTTTCTCGAGCTTTCTTTTTCGTTTCGGGTGAAACCAGAGGGAGGGAGGAACGACAAACACACAAAGGGATGTGAGTTCTTGTTGCCTGGATTGGTTGGTTGGGGAGAAGAGAAAGAGAAATAGAAAAAATGCCAGAGCAAGATTTGGGGGCGTTCCTCGTAAAAGAAAAAAGGAGCGGTTGGTTCTCAAATTTATAAGTGCTATAAAGGCAGGAAAGAGAGAGAGAGAAAAACAAAAAAAAGGTGAGTTGAGAGTTTTGACGCTGTGAGTTAGGACGTTTGAAGTCAACACTTTCTGATTGGGGGCATTTTCGTCATTTTTCAATTATGAAACAATTCGTTCGCTGCAGCTAATTCAACTGAATCAATTCTATATCAATATTAGATTTTTTATTTTTATTTTTCTGAAAACTAAAAATATTTATAATTATCTAAAAATTAAACTACTTTACCAGTTGAAATTAAACCCAATGTGTTGATATGATAATTAAATAGGTTAATTCTTCGAAAATTAGTTAAAATACATATAAATTGACACAAAAATCTCGATTACACAAAAAAAAAAAAAATAAAAATTTCCTTGTTTGACAGATTTTGTTACTCTCTGACTTGAACATAATAGAAAGTCAATACATCATGTTTTGTTAGTGCGATGTGCCCACAATTTCCAAGTTAGACCAGGGCATGTGACTTAGATCAATTTTCCCATTTTAACTTTCGTGCATTAAAATCACTAGATGAAATTACCCTTTTCACGTCTCCTAAATATTGGTAACATCTTTAAACACGCGTACAAAAGCCCATTATTTTTCAAACACATTTAGACAATAATTTATATTTTCCTTAAAAAAATATTTCTATTTTTTATTTTTTTTTCAAAATTCAAAAAAAGAAAACGTTACAAACTCGAAATATTGTCTGTTTCCAGATGTCAGTGAAATGCAGAAGGAAATTTGACCTTTTAGAGAGGAATTTGATTGGATGGTCAAATCAGTTATGAAAGTAAAGCAACTTTGGTTCAAGTCTCATGTGGTCTCTGGCTACTTCAGTTCATCAGTCAGACCAGACAAAATAAAAGGCCTTGCCTCATCAACCATTTGTTTTCAGTTTTACTCCTTCAAATCCGCTTCTTTTTCAAAATTATACAGTCGTTTCTTCAATTTACAGTCAATACTACAAAAACCTGAGCGATTTGGTACAATTCATCGTAACGCCTCAGTCCACATGAACTCCATTATATATTTTTTTAATATTAGTTTTTATGAGCATAGCCGTATAGGTTAATTTAATGAAGTTTTAGTAGTAATAATTTGAAAGTTGCATTGTAATGGCCAAGATCATCCTCAGCAGGCTGTGGGTATTAATGTATTATTACTCTGGTTTTAATGGCAAAGATACTGGCGGCTATAGTAAATCTTCTTCTGGGAGTCAGAGATTGGCTGATTAATTAATAATGTTGAACGTTTAAGCCTTTAAAATTCTCAATAAATGAAAATTTAAAACGGTTAAAAGTTTAAATATTTAATGATGTTAAAAAAAATGTTTTATAGTAAATGTTGAAGAGGAAAAAAGGGTATAAAGATTGAAGACCGACCATGAGCGAAAAGGAGGAAAACTTTTCCACAATCACAAAGTGACAATGAATTTGGTTTGGAAGAGACAATGTTTTGGTTAATATTTTTTATGTTTTTGGGGGGGCTAAGGTGGTGTTTACCTACTGCAGCTTCTTTTGCATTCACAATCCAATCATTGAATTAGGCGTGTAGTCTTCATGGGGCGAGGCCCTCTGATTTCAGTAGTTGTGTTTGTCAAATCAGTTGGCACTTCCTCATTTGCTCCTTAATTCACAATTTTTCCATTTTTTTCTAATTCATCGTGAAAATAATGTGTTAAACGTAAATACCAATTCTTATTTTTCTTGACAATGATTTGAAAGATCACATTTTTTTTTTTAATAATAGAGTGTTTTGACTCGTTTACACGCACTACAATTAATCTCTGAAAACCCTAAAACTATTAACTAAATAAAAGCTCCAATGACTAGGGGTGAAACCGAATCGAGTCGAGTCGAGTCGAATATCTAGATACTTGAACTCGATTCGATTGCTACAGTACCAAACTCAAGTTCAAGCATGGTCGAGTTTGAACTCGAACTCGGTACCTAAAAGTCTAATTCAAACTCGATTAATGGAGTTTTAATCAAATTTAATCAAGTTTTTCAAACTTTTTTGGCTTTTTGTACAGTGATTGAACTCAACTCGTGGGATTATTCGAGCTACTCAAACTCGAACTGAAGTCGACTAATGTCAAGTCGAATTCGAGCCAAAGCCGCGCAAGTGGCTCAACTCGTTTTTAACTTCTATTAGTGACCAACCGTATTAGCCAGCGAAGTGAATTGAACTCAAGACTAGTTCTAATTGAATCTTAACATTCATTTTTAAATATATCCATAATTTCTTAATTGATATGAATTTGTTTTTTTATTCCACAAATTACATAATTTAATTGTAAAATCAATAAATTAAAAATAGATTGAAAAATAATATATTTATATTATTATATCTAAAATTCAATTAAGAATGTATATATCTAAATTTTTAATAATGTATGTATATAAAGAAATATATATATATTATTAGAATTATGACATTACATAATCGTTATGTCATTCTTACTCGTTTTAATTGAAATTAAAAGAAATTCAATTTTAGAAAAAAGAATGAAGATGACACAACTTTAAATTAAAAAAGAAATTGATATTTTGAGAAAGGCTAAAGCCTAAAAGCCTAGTTGATCATCTAAGACAAGTAATTTGAATTTAATTAATCAAAAGGAATTAAGTAATGTTGAAGCAATTAACAATGGAATGGAACTTCCTTATTTTAATATTGTAATTAAATGTGAGACGCACGTCTTCCACTTTGATGTGACATGAAATTAATTACTCATCAGCCAAGGAGGATTAAATTCGGCTACTTTCCATCAAATGTCTTCACCTGTTTCATAACTACTTCTCTTTACTCACAAATGAAGTAAGAGAATCAATTAGAGGCCCAACCAATTACACATACTCAAGATTTGCCGAAACAACATATTGATACCCAAAAAATTTTAAAATAACAAAGAGATACCTTTTATCATGTTCTATTAGTGATTTTCGTTTCATAATAGTAAAAATACTATAATACCCTTAAAAGTTTGATATTTTAGTTTTTTATAAATTTAAAAATTTCTAAAAAACCTCTAGGTTTGCAAATTTGACTAAATACCCCAATATATAAAAATTTTGTAAAATAACAAAAATACCCCCACTACCCGCAGTGCCAGATTCCGGCAACCACCATCGGAATCTGGCCTGAAAATTGCATTACGACATAGACCCGTTAGATCTGTGTCGTAACGTGTCGATCTGGCCTTTTCCGGCCTCAACGGCCAGATCTGGCCGTAGATCTGGCTTTTTTCAGCCAGATCCTCCACGGATATGGCCAGAAAATGCTTGATCGACACGTTACGACACAGACCCGGGTCTGTGTCGTAACTCAATTTTCGGCCAGATTCTGGCCTCAATGGCTAGATCTGCCCTTTTTTGGCCAGATTAGTCACGGATCTTGTCGGAAAATGCCAGATCTACGCGTTACGACACAGATCCGATGGGTTTGTGTCGTAACGCAATTTTTCGGCCAGATCCTGACGGTGGTTGCCGGAATTTGGTACTGCGGGTGGCAGGGGTGTTTTTGTTATTTTATAAAATTTTATATATTGGGGTATTTAGTCAAATTAGCAAACCTATGGTGTTTTTTAGAAATTTTAAAATTTATAAAAAAACGAAATATTAAACTTTTAAGGGCATTCTAGTCTTTTCACTATTATCAAACGAAAATCACTAACAGAACATAACGGAAGGTACCTATTTGTAGTTTCAAAACCTTTTGATTACCAACTTGTCGTTTCGGCAAACCTTGGGTATGCATAAGTCGTTCGGCCTAAATTAGAGGCCAATTCATAATAATATTATTTAAATTCCCGTCTTCTATTCAGTAAACATGTTCTAACCTTATAAAAGACTAATACTACATCAATAACCATTTCTTATAAATTTTTTTTTTATAACTTTGACGTAACAATTTATAATCAGTTAATTTATAATTAAGTAGTAGGACTCATACGAGACCTATGTAAGACCCATTGTGAATTCATTAATTGCAAACTGTCACGTCAGAATTATGAGAGAAGGTTTATGAGAGAGTATTGTTGATATAGTATTATTCTTTATTGAATAAAAGCTACTTGCATTAACTACCTAAACTTTGCATATTTAATACTGTATAGTACAGAATCTTCTATGGAAAGACTTATCCAATAAATTATCAAATACAACCCACGAGGGGCATGCTCCCGACTCTTTCCATAGCCACATATATAATCAAAAAGCCATTGTTAATTGATTTCATAAAAGAGATTGTATGTTTTGGTATGGGCATGATCAAAGATTGTTGTTTCTCGTAGTCAAATGTAATCGTTTTTCACTTTCTAGTGATTTTAGGGTTTGTTATTGTTATGCCTAAAAAATCATATTAATGTCAACTCTATCTAAAAGATAAAGTGTACTAACTGTCAAGCCTATACAGTCTCAAAGATATTCATGCCAACCCTATCTCATTTTAAGAGATGGACAGATGAGAGCTCTCCATATGTCAATACAATTTGTAAAATACTCATTATATTGACCTCAAAAGTGTATAAATGGGCACCTCTCTTCATGAAAATGAGAGGCTGTGCATATGAGAGCTAGGCATAGATTTGAGTTTTATTATTTTTTCTTTGTAAACAAAGTTTTTCTCTATTCTTTGTACACCTTACAGGAAATATCATAGAAATAGTCAGAGAATGATAAAATCATAGTGGACATAGGATTCGTTTTTGAGCATCCGAATCACTATAAAAACCCCTCTTGCCAATATTTTATTTACGTTTCAGCATCATATTCAAATCTCTTGAATTTATCATATATAATTTCTAAGCCCGCTTAACACCTTGCATGTATGAGTCATTGGTGTCAAAATCAAGCATCAACAGTTATATTTTTTATAAATATCACGCCAAATATCTTGCATATTAGTTTAACCATTGTTTTTGTCTATGATTTGGGAGTCATATATTTTTATATAGACTATGTCCACGTCATTTTCAAAAATCGTCTAATTTGTATTAATTTTTATAAACACTCTCTTTACCACAAAAGAAATTCAATCTTTATAAATATATAGTCTTAGTTTTTCTTTTATTTTGAATCTCTTCTGCGATCTAGCTGGAATAAAAAAGAAAATTAAATAAAAGTCCTGGCATACGTGTAATAGAAGCATGAATAAGATCAAAATCTATGTCACCATAATCTGCAAAGTAAAATCTTCTCAAAAAACAAATAATATGCCGTATGTGTACAAAAGTTATTCCTCCATCTCTACGTATACACTAAAAAATTGGATAGAAGTTGACTCATAATATAATCTTACAAATTTTCTTTCACAACCTCAATATGACAACTCGCAATTGATTAGTTTGTAATTAGACAGATGAGACTCATAATGAGTAAACGAGACCCTTTATGTAAAGAAAAAGTTTGTGAGACTGAATTATGAGTGTAGTATTGAAAAAAAAAATTATGTAACACCACAAGATAATGATAGGATAAAATGAGCACTTAAATTAATTAAAATTAAATNTCAGTGATGATTGAATTGAAAAGTTTATGAATTATGCTATAATTGTTCTTTAGCATCAAAAAATAAAGGCAATAATTTTAACCTTTCCAATCACTGGTTTTACTAAGTCAAATTGAATATGTAATACTCAAAAATAATGTTTAGGTTGAAATATACCTTCCACGAGGAACGCACGGGGGCTTGCATCACTTCAATAGTTTGGTGATTATTTGATTTGTTGGATTTAGGTTTAAAATATATTTTTATATCTATATTAAAGCAGGTATCACTGCTATATCTTATGGGCCGTTTGGATCAGGTTAATATTAGATAATTAGGGTAATATTTTTTAAATTGAGCAGATGATGATATTTGTAAAAAAATATTCTTAGATTATTTTATGACAAACAGTGAAATTTGGGGTATATATTGTCGGGAATCTTAATACCTGGGGGAGAGCCGTTATTAAAACTTACCTTAGTAATACAATTTTGTTTCCCATGTTGCCCCTAAACAGTTGAGCAATTGGTTCAAATTAATCTTATATTTGTTAACACTTACAAAACACCAAATTCATTTATGTAGACACTTTTGTCTTCGCTTTTTAAACTGTTTGGATGACATTGCCCTTGTTATTGTCATTATTTACAGAAATGCCATTATACCCAAAACTAGCTACCACTGCCAGCCACCGTCGACTGCTGCCATAGGCTGCCAAAAGTCACCACCATAGGTTGCCAAAAGTCGCCATAATGGCGTACAACCGATCGTATATGGCCGACCATGAGTCGGTGAGGCTTTTTTCTACTATGGATCTGATCTAGTTGTTTCACGGCCAAAGATGTGGCTGTGAAACGGCGACTACTAAAGACCTGGCTATTTCACAGCCAGATCTATGACACTGTCTGCGACACAGCCAGATCTGTGGCACTGCCAGTGGCCGCCAGTGATGGTGGTTGGCTAGCGACAGTGACTTGGGGTGGGTATGAGTGTTTTTGTTAAGTTTAAAACGTTTTTGGTTGTTAGGGTGTTTTTGTTAAATCTGAAAAGTGGGGGGTTAAAAGAAATTATTCAAAAAATAATAATAAAAAATATTGTTATATTAATTTTTAAAAATGAGAGTAATTTAGTAATCTATATGACATACCCACCCATTTATCCTCCCGAGTCCCAACCAAATATATTATTCATAAATTTATTCGAACCAACCAAACATATTTTCTAAACATTTCCAATAATTTTCAAGATGGTCTTTTATTTTGTTAATATAATTTCCCTCTATAATAAAACATTATATGATCCAAACATCCCCTTCCAAGTATATTTATTTATTTATAATGTAAATTAGAGGTCAAAGGCATTGAGTTATAATCTTATAATTAATTTGAGTGGCAGCGTTTTGAAAGTAATATTCTCAATTTAAATACTACTTCTCAGGTTGAAATTTAGTTTTAGCCACAAGATTTATAAAAAAAAAAACAAAAACCATTCAGTCATTGTCGTTAAGTTTTGTGAAAACTACTTTTGTCTACCATATTACAGGTTTAAACCAGCGAAATTATCGGTACTACTGTTTCTTCTGCAATATTTTTACATGCAAACTTCTTGTAGTTAGGTATATGGAATTTGTCGCCATGGTCTATATCTGTCTAGAAATTAATTAAGTAGCTTAAGCTCTATAATTAGTTGATTAAGACATTGGGGAAGATATGAGTAAGCCTTGCCCATACATAAGCCAGAGTAATGGTGCTTAGGATTGATGGACTCATTGACCAACTTATTCGTTACGGGAGCGACATGTTGGATGATCTTGTTCGTCCGATCTTGGCATATCCTCCAGACAGCTGGAGCGGATTGGACGGTGGGAAAATTATGCACAACACGTGTGTATAATTTTTTTTACGATATAATGCTTTATGCACGAAAATCATATTATTAGATCTTACATCCATAAGTTTAAGCTCGGTTGCATGTAAGAGGAATCCAGACCTTAATGCGTTACATATTTTTCAGCTTTTAAGTTTCAAACTTTAGCATGCATGGAGATGCTGAAATTTCAGAATTTGTCAACAGTCCACGAATATCTCAGTTTGTTGGGCCGAAATCAATCCAAGCTGAAACTACATCAATCAGGCCCAAGCCCATTAGATGGTTACCAGGTTCGACTATTGAGAAAATTATTTCGTTGACGTGCAAAAACTAAAAAGGCAAAGCGTGTTTACCGCTTAACTAACCATTAAAAAGACGGTCAAAAATTGGAATTATCTTCAGGATTCTGTCAGGCTACCGTCAATTGGTCAATTACCGACCACCACTTACACGGGAACATATTTTTTTTATTGAATCCGAACTCATCTTTTCAACTATGAATGCTCTTGGTCAGCAACACGTTAGGAGTAACACATTTATGATACTGAATTTAAAAATTCAAAGTTTAGCTTAATTTAGTTGTAGAGTTATTAAAGTAATCCTCTGAGCTTATAGCCAATGCATTTATAAATATATATTAATTAATGGATAGTGATCACAAATTCAAAATACAACTCAAAATGTTAACTATTTCTGGATGGTCGAGTGAGTCGATATAGACGATTTGGTGTATTATTTAAGAGATTATAAATTCCAGTCCCTCCTTTGTTGCTAATAGAGATAGCCATTGAAGATGATAATTTTAAGATTTCAGAGGATTATTTATTTAATTACTCATGTTTAATAATCACAATAAACAAACTGATCATGGATAAAATTCACAAATATTGATTTCCCAAAAGAAAAAAAAAATTAATTCAATCTATAAATCAATGATAAAAAAGAATTGAAATCTCAACATCTTGTACATGAATTAAATGAATGAAAAGAATGTCCCTAATTGAAAAAAGAAAAAGAAAAAAATGAATACAAGTATGGGTTGAAGTTAAGGTATATTATCAAATCGAAAGATCAATCTTAGGCGCCCTCTTCCCAAACAAGAACTCCAAATCATTCTCTAAAGGAGTCAAGTTCAAGTCCAACCCAAAGATCCTCCTGCTATTCGATCTCACCAACATCGGCAACTTCGAAACCATAGTATCAGAACTCAAGCTTTCACCCATGGCAGCGGCTCTGTGCCGCCTCATGTGACCACCCAAAGCCTGCCCAATAGCGAACTCTTGTCCACATATCGAGCACTCATGCAGTTTTGGTTTCGAACTCAATGGCTTTTTCTCACCATCGACCTTATCACCTCCTGTTAATCTCGGTCGTTTGTGGCTCGCTCGGTGGCCTCCTAGAGCTTGGAAGGACGGGAACTGGCGATTGCAAGTCTTGCATTCGTAAACCTCCATTGCCGAAAGCTTTTTCTGTTTGGTTTCAATGCTGTGAGAGAGCAACATCAGGCAGTTTGCCATGGCTAATTGCTCCACGATCTGTCCATTTTCTCTAACTCTCTTCATGGCTAAAGCAATAAACTAATCAAAGAACGTAATGGAAATAATTTTGTTTTAATGGAGATAACGAACTCGAGTTTGTGATATATATAGGCTTTCATGTTCAACTCTGACTATTCTTTTGACCTGACAACAATTTTATTTTTACGTAAATAAATGACGTAAATATCCATTCAACGAAACTAAACAACATGTGTTGTGTGCTACTTGGGTGTTTCTGGTAGACAAAAGAAAAGTTAGACTGCTTCTTTGACTAAGCCCTTCTCGTGACAAGTAGATGTAACATTATAATAATATAGGTGGCCAAAATGGTCAGCCGTGACCAAATATAATTAGGTGAACTAATACAGATGAACGAGTCCCCATTGGCGAGCTTGTTAGAAGTTTCTGATGAGTGAGAGCTTGATTATGTAATGAGAACGTACGGCACGTTGTCTTATATATATAAAATCAGAGAAAACCTGTTTTCACTGCCGCCAGAGTTATTATTAATAAGCCGATAAATGAAGAAACTGTGTATTGCTTCGAAACCGAGAGCTGAAGCAAGAAGAAAGTCAAAAAAGTAAAGGCGAGTGGAGCTTGAACCCTTATAGTCAAAATGGTACAACATTTTCATTCCTTGGTTACTTGGTTTGATAGTTTCAAAATATATAGTTAATAATAGTTATAGAGTAAAACGACACTGTTCAGAGTTCACATCGACTTCAAATCTATTGAGCAGGTAACTGGTTTTCTGAATGATGGTGAACTTGAAAGGTAACACTGACATGCAAGAAAAATTCAGTCATTAAAAACATGTGTAAAGTAATAATCACATTATAATATTATATTATAAGATATATATATTTTATTTTCAAGATACACCTCATCTGAACAAAAGATGGATGTCTTAATTTTTGGTTTACTAAATTGCAGGGTCGCAGACTTTTATCGACGTTAAAATAGACTAGTATATTAATTAATTGGTATTTGAGCATTATTTATAATTAAAGAATCATATGCATTAATTACATTGAGCTTATATAACATATACCAGCCACAGTATTTGGACCAAAGTAAAACATACCGTTAATAGTTGATTTTGACACTGATTCCCAGGTACAAAGTGCTAAGCTTAACTTATAAAGGGGGTGTTTGTCTAAGCTTATAAGCTCTAAAATTAAGCTGACATGTTTGTTTATAATCTTTTTGAGCTTATAAGTTGAGTTTATAAGCAAAAAAAAATAAGTTGGGGGGAGGTACTTTTTTTTTTTTGCTTATAAGCACTCTGCTTATAAGCTAGTTTGACCAAGTATATTACCACATTATCCTTATTTAATTTTAAAATTACATAGTATAACCTTATTTAATATAGTATCCCTTTTAGTCATTTTATAATAAAATGTACTTATAAGCCACATTTTACCAAACACGTCAACTGCTTATCAGTCACTTATAAGTACTTTAACCAAACACATAATTGCTTAAAATTTCAAATGCTTATAAGCTAAAATTAGCTTATAAGTACTTGTTATTTATAAGCTAATTTTCATAACCTCAGACAAACACCCCCAAAGTACACGTGAATAGAAAATATAGTGAAGTAAATAAAAGATAAATTCTAAAGTAGTTCAGATGCTTAAAGTAAATCATATATTCACCGTTATTTTATAATTCTTTGACTATTTTTATGATATTACCCGTAAGACATACAAAGATAGATAAATACTTTATTTACAGAGAAAAGATAATAAAGGTCAAATATTTGTCTAGCTCTCATATGCCCAATCAGTCTCTTTTTCACGAAAAGAGGTGCTCATTTATACACCTTTGAGTTCAATATAATAAATACTTTTACAAGTTGTCATAACACGTAGGGACCATTACTCCTTAATCCTTATCTTAAAATGGGATATGATTGATATAAAATATCTCTTGGAGGCGCTTTGGGTTGATGACAGCTAGGGGTGTTCGGTTCCGGGTACCCTGCATTTTTTGAAGGAACCGGAACCGGAATCGACGGTTCCTTAAAATTTGGAACCAGAATCGGAACCTAACCGACGATTCTAGTTCCTAGGTACCCAGAACTAGAACCTATAACAACGGTTCCGATTTTGAGTATCCTGTAAAATTACAATGACCCCCAAAAGTTTTTAAAATAGCCAAAAAACCCTTAAAAACTTACAAATACCCCACTGGGCACTTGTTAACAAAAATAAAATTACAAATTATAAATTCAAAATTACAAACTCCATTACTTTGTAAAGGTAGATTCTCAAAAGTCAAACCAACTTACTTTAAATGTTATGAAATATAAATATAAATGTATTCACATTATTTTTTCTACAAAAGTTTTTATTTACCCCATAATCTTTAATTTTATTTTATATTAGTCTCGGTTTTTGGTTCTTGGTTCCGGTTTCAATTCCTAACTATAGGAACCGGAACCGCACAGTAATGGTTCAAAAAATTTGGAACCGAAACTTACCTGTTGATAGTCGGTTCTGGGTAGGAACCGGAACCAAATCCCAGGTACCCGTTGGTTCCGGTTCCAACAGGTTCTTTTGAACACCCCTAATGACAGCTAATACCACCTTATCTTTTGGGGAGACGTGGTAGCTCCTGAATGGCACAAAGCCTTCTTAAACTCTTATTAGTGGTGTTGATATCAGTGTGACTTTTTAGGCACAACAAAACCCTTGTTGTAAGGGATAGTTCAAGATTAACCAAACTGCTTTCAAGTTAGGGGAGGGTTAACTCTTGATTTTATATTATTAATTTATTACACAAAACAGTCCTAATCAGATGGGTTTAAGTTAACTATAATTAGTGTTTAATTAAGCATAAACCAAACTTAGCTTGAACTCAAATGTTGACAAAAGTGTGGGCCTATGAAAGTTGGCAAGTCCATCAATGGCTCACTTGATAATTTGTTTTAAGTTACTAACAATCCTTGTAAAACAATATTATCGATTATTATTAAAAAGCAATAATCTCATTGATTTTGTGACAAAAGCCAATAAACTCAAATTTTATCAAGGGTTTAGATGAATTTTTATTTTAATACATTTTGACTAATATTGGTTATAACTAAATAGCCTAGATATCAAACAAAACATCACAATCACATCTGTACACAACAAATACATATTAAACTAATTATAAAAATATATTGACAGACCCTAAAATATAAATAAAAAAAAAAAAAATTTGGGGAAGCCAATATGTTACGAAATAACAAGTCATAGATCATGGTCCAATAGACCTTAAATCAAAGATTAAAAGGTGTACTAAGATTAAAGAGGCGTTAATCTTGTAATATGTTTTGATAAGAATGAGATGACATGCTTAAATTCAAAGGCAAACGTGTTTTTGTAATTTTTAATGTTTTTATTATAGAGGTGTTTAATAAATTAACAAACCTAGAGAGTGTTTTTGTTAATTTTTAAATTCTACCTCGTTATTATCACTCAACCCTTACTTTTTCAAAAATACAATCCAAAATACTTAAACAAACGCACTCAAAGTAATTGTAAAAGGGTAGATTTTGAATATTGAAATAAAAAATTCTTGGAGAAGATTCATTATAGGACTAGTTGCCTATGAAAAAAAATACCTAAATCAGCCATAACTTACCAAATTCCACTCTTTTCTACCAACAACACAGAGACTATGCATGTAAGAAACATCATTCATACCACAAGCTGATGAATTCGTATCCTCAGGGCCTGAAGTTACCAAATTACACTATGTCGAATTGTTGTGTTTATTTTTTTTTATTTTTTTTTATTTTTTTTTATTTTTTTTTATTTTTTGCTTTTTCACTAATTACAATGCATATGTTTTGATCAGTGTGTTGTCTTATGCTTTAATAGATGTTTTAAACTGTGTGTTTGTGTAAATTTTGGACCCAACAACAGTGTAAAGCCTAATATTAAGATTGTTCTAAACCGTGTAAATTACAACTATTAAAATAACAGTGTAAATCTGTTTGAATTGTGTAAAATCTGCTAAATAAACTATTATTGTTTCCCTTTTTTGATGTTATATAGAACATTCATAACAACTATGACTACATCATCCTCAAGGGCTAGGTTTACATCTTCTTCAACTCAAAATAATGCTCCGCAATCTAGCAACATACATGACAACAAGATTTAAACATTCTACTTTGTCTAAATTAATTTTTAAACAGTCATGACTCTATAAGTTTTAAACATTCTACTTTGTCAAAATTAAGTTATAATTTAATTTAATTTGCAAGTTCACGGCCTCTTTAAGTAATGTGAGTTTGAACTTGCAAATGCATCGTTGGAGAAGGTAATTTTTGCAAAGGCAACTATGTGTGTTGAGGTTTATTTAGATTATATTTCCTCTCTTTCTAGTTTTGGTCATAGGAAATTGTTGCTCAGTTTTGGTCTAATATTGATTACTTATTCTTGTGGCTGCACCCTAAACTGTTTTTTTTTCCCTTTTTATTATCATTGTCACAGGTTGTTAGTGGAACTTGTTGCTCTGCTGTGGTCTGATGTTGATTACTTCTTATTGTGGCTACACCCTAAATTGGTTTTTTTCTTCTTCTTTGTCATTGTCACAGGTTTTTGTGGAAATTCTAAATAGCAGTATAACCATCTTTGCCACCAATGATAGATCTTCAACTGATCACATTTTGCTCATTTTTTATGCTGTACATTGGAGAATGAATTTGTTTCGATAATACTGAATCAAGATTGTTATGTTTATTTTTACACGAACTTTCTATTCTCTTCTTTTAAAAACATCTATGCTTTTATTGTTATTATTGCATGTTAGCAGGTTGAAGAGGTCTGATGAAAACATTTCCAAATTTTATTGGGTTTAGGGTGACTAAAATGCATTGTGATTTTGCAGTCTTAATTGACAAAGTAAATGTAGTACAAATATCAACTCAATCCGCACCACATACACGGACAAAATAGTAATTTCATTTGTGTTAATTTTTTATAATCTGACGGTTACCCATTTGCTAAAAAAAATTAGGACAAATTAGTAATTCAATTATTGTTAAAAGATGGGGGTATCTCGGTGATTTTATTTTTAAAATAGGGGTACATTGTATTTCACTCACATATAATAATAATAAAAAAAAATTCAATCAAACAATCAAGGGTATTTTGGTCTTCACAATGAAAATATATGTTTTTAATAGAAATTGTTAACAGAATTTTTGCTCTAAGTAATAAAATGGAATTTAAAATGTGGGTGGGTATGAATTTGTCAATGGGCCATTTTTTGGGTGGGAACATGTCGTTAACTCTATATTATATGGATAAGTTTTACATTTTCTAATTCAATGAAAACATATTCACTCAAATTTGACAAAATAATATATAGCTGAAGTTTGAAACTCAGCAGATTCAAGCACAGCAAGAGCACAAAAAGTTGGCAAAGGGCAGAAATTAAACTGTACGTTTTAAAAATGGAAGTAATTGTAAAAGGGTAGATTTAAATATTTAAATAAAAAATTCTTGAAGAAGATTCATTATAGGACTAGTTGCCTTGAAAGAAATACCTAAATCTGCCATAACTTACCAAATTCCACTCTTTTCTACTAACAACACAGAGACTATGCATGTAAGAAACATCATTCATACCACAAGCCGATGAATTCGTATCCTCAGGACCCTGAAGTTAATGACCAAATATATTCAATGATCATCCCTATTAGCAACCAAAGTAATTTGAATTCAGAACCTCTTAAATAAACACCCAGAAGTCTTTGTCCAATCACTCAGCCACACGGGAGTGGTTTAATTATTAATTTTAGTTACTATATAACATGCATTTATTAGTTCATGATATTAGACTTTTACACAAGAAAATTTTCAAAGTTATTGAGGAGAAGAAGAAACTAGTCCTAATTATTTCGGTATTACATAATTACTACAACAGCATCAACCTCCAAACAAATCAAGACAACAGCATCCTAACTGGTTAAAAACAAATGAACTTGCCACTCATCAGTTGATGAGTATAATTTGTTCATTCTGTCACACAGCTAAAGCTGCTTCTGCCACTAAATGCCTGTTATTTTCCTATTCTGCTATTCGTACATATTAATTGACATCTGCAAAAGGAGTTCTATTTGGTGAGGCTACAGCCATATGCGAGTTCTTGCTTTCGTTCTGCCCCAATTTTGATTTGTAGTCCACAATATTCTCTTCTTTCAGATTTTCAAATGCGGCGGCTGTTCTCATCTCTTCGATGGATGCCAAGCTCGGCACTGTTATAACTCGTTTCTCAGGTGTTGTGCTACTATGCTGGTCAACCTGTTCATAGAGATCATCAGTTTAAGAGTTGTGCAACAATGTTAACTTCCTAATATCAAAAGGACTTTGGAAAATTCTTTCATCAAACCAGACTCTTACCAAATAATCTTTTGTGAGAGACTTTTCAGCTTGGTTTCTGATGCTTGTTATGTTTTCACCATGCTTTTCTTGTATCAATTTGAGCTGATCTAAGCACCTGGTTGTCATTGAGTCTATTTCCTTCTTACTTTCATGATCCCGCGTTAGCAAATCTGTCAGAAACATAGTTTTTTTAATTTTCATCTAGCGGAGAGAAGAATATATTTTATTACATGAGAAAGAATATTTAAGCCCCGCATAGGCAGTAAAAATTACCATCAACAGCTGTCACAATATCACCAGTTCTGGAACCAAAATCTACTTCCATTGAAGAGCAAGCAGATACAAGTTCTTCATGTGCAACTTGATTTACGCTTATATTTTCCCTGTTGAAGTAATAATATTGGATACATTATGAACTGATCCAACTTAAAGAACAGAAAAAGATTAAAACAAACCATGAAACAGACAACTTACTTTACAGTGGATTCTATCTCTGCAATGCTCTTTGTATTAAGATCACTTATGTATGATTGAGCACTTTCCCACTGTTGCCTAGAGGAATCTACCTTCATGGTGCTGTATACAGAGAAAACATAAGATTGATGATATTTCAATTCGGTAGAGCTTAATCTGACTGGAAATTTTCCTAAGCTACAAAGAGCTTACCACTCCTCGATGTAATTGTCAATGATAGTCCTAGATTCAGCTGCTGAGAATGTGTCCTGCATGAAATGACTTTCCACTTTCTCTACATACTTGCTCAACTCTGTCCTAGCATCAGTTGAGACCTGCTGCATGCTAGAAATCTCTCTCTGCAATCTCTTATTCTGTTGTATACTTGAGTCCTGGGCGTTCTTTGACGCCTCTGAGACCTAATTAATAAGGATTTAATGTCAAGTTCACAATTTAATTCCAAGCTTTTCAGATTCGATTAGAAATAAACTTGAAAGAAAGGTTGACTTGATTGACTAACCATGGCAGATTTCTTTGATGTCAAGTTCGATAATATCACTGCAATTTTTTCCAGAGCCTCTTTTTCCTCTTTGGCAGCCTCTTCCTGTTTCATGGCAGTGTGGAGTTCACCAATCTTGACTCTTCCCTAAGAAATGCCATATAAATTTAATTGTCCACATAAACTTACCTTAAACTTTTTGTCGAAATTAGCTAATTCCTTTGAGTTTTGAGCCTGGCTCTCTTCAAGCATTGTCATGACATTAGAGGCCTTTTGATAAAGGTCACTGAAAAAGTCTACGGTTGCCTTTGAAATTTCTTTTGCAGAAACCAAGCTTCGCTGTAAGCCCTGTCATTACCAATAAAATTCACTTCAAGTACAAATTAAAATAATATTATCAGTAAAACAAAACAAAAATGTAAAGATGTTACCTCCTCTTGCTGTTGGGCAGATAATGCCAAGAACTGTTTTTGCTCAATAAGAGAATTCTGGATGTCCTTGATAACCTCCTTGGCTTCTGATACCATAGTGACAAGAAACTGTAAAAGACAAAAGTAATGTTAACTTGTTATGCACCCTCCTGTAGATCCAGTGCGCTTCCATTAGCAATTTTTCTTAAGAAAAAGCAAAAAATTTCTTCACTGATTCCATACTTGTTCAACAGCCATTCCATGAGAAGAGATTGTAGAATTTATCTGTTCCAGGTCAGAGGCTGCTTTCTTTTGCATTGAATTACCAAGTTCCTTCAAAGCTGTTATTCCTAATGTATATGTCTCTGTCAATTTCTTTATCCTTGATTCCAAGATTTGTGTTGCCTGAATTTAAATGGATATTACCATTCAGATGATCTGTATACCAAGCATGAGTATAAAAGTTAGGTGAATAAAAATTTTCTTCTCTTACATCACATTTACTCGCAAGAAAAGAATGTGCATGTTCTTCCATGCATCTTAGTTGTTGCTGTTGTTGAGAAATCGATCCTAGGATAGTCTTGTGCAAATCTTTCAAACTCTGATCAAGCTGAGAACCAAATGACAGAACCATGCTATGATTTTCTGCTTCCAACTTGTCTTTTTGATCTGTATAGAGAAAAATAATTTCAGTTAGACATGTGAATAGTAAACAAGCGCATTTGACTTTCGTTTCTCTTTTCCTTTTAAAGAAAATGAACTTAGGTTTCAGTGAATGACTCAGGTCTCATTTTTAAGATGTGTTTGCAGAAATAAGAGATGACAGTCCAGAACATTCTGAATTTCATCTTTTCGTCTCTCTAGAACTCTTTCAAGCAAGAAACACAATTGAACAGAAAAAGCTAACAAGAAAAACACACTTCATCAATTGTGCACAACATAATAATGGTGCCACACACATATATGCCCAACCACATATATATACCATAATGACCAGTGAGGTGGGATAAATTCAACTTCAATACCCTAAACCCTATCATCGCCTCAAATGCTCTGAGGCCAGGTCTAAACCCAGTATTGCCTCAAATGGCTATAGTATCATAATAAAGTGAGTTTAGGTAAAACTTACTCCCAAAAGCTAGCTTAAGAGAGGAGGATGTCCAACCACATATATATACCATAACAGCAACAGCCCACCAACTTGGAGATCGCCTCAAATGGCTCTAATGTCATGATAAAGTGGGTTTGGGTAGAACTCGCCCTTAAAAGCTATCGCCTCAAATGGCACTGATAGCATGATAAAGTGGGTATAACTCATTCCCAAAAACTACCTCAAGGGAGGGGGGATCTCGACTACAACTTGGTGATAGGGGACAAATTCAACTTCAATACCCTTCCCACGCTTGGTGTGCAAGGCCAGGCCCAAACCCATCATTGCCAACTCAATCCCAACAGTTAGCAAGGGAGGAGGGAACTCAACTACGTATATACGCATAACAGCCCACCAAATTGACGATGTGGGACAAATTCAAATTCAAATTCAATTCCATACCTAATTTTGCAAAGAGTGAAGTTATATCCTCTGATGCATTTTGCAACTCATTTCGCAACTCCTTTGCCCGCTCAACTAATGACTTCTCTGTTCACGAAATGATAGTAAATGTCAATAGCCCTATTTAAAAAAAAAAAAAAAAAATAGCCCCGGATTGTACTAACTCATTTCGCAACTGTCTTACCTGAGAATAGAAGCTTGGAGATTATCAACTCCTTTTCTTTGATTGTTGAAAGGGCCATCCTGTGGTTCTCTTGAAGTTCAAGAAATTCTTTGTTTCTGTTTTCCAAATTCATCTGCAAGAATATTTCTATTATTATCAGATACATGCCATTAAGTAATTGAACAAAAAAACAAAAAGAAATCCATATTCAGGATTTACCATGCAATCCTTGAGCTCGCTTTCTAAGTCTAATTTCCCTTCTTGTTCAGTAAAATACAGTTCGCGGTACCTATCAACTTCCTGAAACAAAGAATAACTCTGATAATCTATTCAAGTATCACATGTATGGTATGGGAAGGACATCAAAGTACGAGCAAGTTGTACCTTCTCACTGAGGCTGAGATCATTCTCCAGTTGATCTATTTTCTCAATTCTTGCCTGCAAGTTATCCCATATGTGCATTAACCAAACAAAACAAGCTCCATATAGAGTAGAGAAAGTCGCTGACAGTTGCCAGACTCTTAATTTATTTTAAAAACTTTTACCTTCTTTTCAGCTTCATCCTGGGCATATCGTTCATGTGGAATGTAAACACCATTTTTGTCCCTTGCTGCTCGAACATCTGCGTTAGATTAACATGTAAGAACCAAACTGCTTATTTGTTTGTCACACAGAAAAATCTAAGACTGCAGATGCATTATTCAAACCTTGTTTCATTTTCTCTATTTCTAAGTACAATTCCTTCAACAGCACAGCTTTGGACATTTTCTGGTTTGCCTGCAAAAGATCAGCTTCAAAATCAGTATACAGTGGAAAAATGAAAAAAAGAAAGTGAAAATAAGCAGCCAAACAAACCTCTGGTTTATTCTTTATGTTCTTAGCACGGTAAGCATAATCTAGAGTGCTCAGAGTTTCTTCAAGAGAATGAGCAGATGGAGAAATTGTAGCAATGATGCAAGTTTTCGTTTTCCCTCCCAAAGAATCTCTTAGCAGCCTTGTTAGCTTGCTATCCCTGTACAGAACGTCGGCATACAAGGGCAAATAGTTTAATAAAAACTTACGGAATATCCAATCAACTAATAGAATGATAGCAGCTATCCGAAATAACCTATATGGAATATGAGCTGAATGTTCCACTAGTGCATTAATGACACGGCCCAGGGTGAGTAAACTCTTGTTTATCTCCCCTGCTTCCCTTGCACGACCCTGCAATTTAAAGCGGATATAATCAAATTGATAACCACTTGAACTAAAGGAACAAATTATTGCAAAACTTATTCTTCTCAGACTTGATATTTTTCACATGATTCTCAAATATACTGACTCCATGTAAAGATAGCAAATAATCGAGTAAATTAATCGGCAAAAAAGTAATTTACAATACTTAGATGATTTCATACCTCCCGTGCACCTGAGCGAGATATATTCTCTGATCCCGCCAAGTCAACAAGATTTAGTTTGCCACACTTAATAAGGTCCTCATCTCCAACAGCTGCTTCTTTTATATGGACAGTAATGGAAAAGACAGAATGGGAGCGGCTGCAATAGAAATTTGGAAAATTTTGATTAATTTTCTATATGTTCAATATGGTTATTGAGCTGAAAAGATTATAAAAGGACTCAACCTGCTGTGCTTGTTTAACAAGGTATCTGCTGTACGTCTTTTGGCTGATCCTCTTTCCAAAATGGTGTAAATTTCATTTGCACTATATACAGCTTCTTCTTCAAGGCCTCTTACAACCACACAACCCTTTCCATCCTCCATCAAGGAAATGGGTTTCTTCTGCTTATCTTCTGTAGATTTAGGATTGTCTTCTTGAGCTAGCAAATCAGTTATTTCTTCATTGTACAGCTCCAAAAATGACACTTTCATGCTATAGTCAGCATTCTGTGCCTCAAGTGTATCAAAAATTTGGCGAACTGCTCTTGGAATAACACCAGCTTCAGCAGGTAAATCCAAACCCTACGTTTCGTGATACATCATATGTATATGTTACTTACTCAACCAGAGGAAGCGCAGCTTAAACTACAAAATTTTAGAATTTGAATGAAACAATTCTTCTGTACCTTATTTCTCATCCCACCCTCCATTGTATATGTTTTACCAGTGCCTGTCTGCCCATATGCAAAGACTGTGCAATTGAAGCCGTCAAGGACTTCATTTACAACGGGAGCAATGGCTTGGTCATATATTGATCTTTGTTGTGATTTTGGTCCAAAAACCTTGCAAATTTTTTAAAGTCAGATATANGAGAAATCCAAAACGAGGCCACGAAGACAATCTCATGTAGCTAAGTGACCATCCGCTAGAGGAATTCAACATCTAATAGCAATAGAGAAATCCAAAACAGTTTATTTTTTTGATGATATGTAGTTATGGAGTTGAGCCGGTTATGTACATAACATTTTAAACATTATTGATTCTTGGTAATAAGATAGAGAAACAGACTTTTAGAGAGAGTTAATTTATAATTAAATGTTAACTCACGTAAAAGAGAGAGATTATATTTAGACATATTTCTCCAAAGAAAGAGGACACGTTGCCATTGTGATCTATAAAGGACGGCACCGAATCCTTTTGACTTGCTTTCTTTCTTACCCTCCTCTTCTCGCTGTTTATACAAGTACGTCCGCATACGAACCCGCATACAAGTACGGCACGGTGTTTCAATTATGCCATGGTTTGGAATGAATATATGCTATTGAGGTTGTTTTTCATTTTCCAGAAGGCTCTGAGATTGAACTTTGAATGCTTAAACACTTGACTTTAAATGCACCTAATTAATCGAGTTTCCATTGTGCTATAGTTTTGAATGGATATGTTTTCTCATGATGGTTGGATCTTAATTTTTAGAATGCTCGAGATTGATCAATTTGTTAATACCAAAGGTCAGATTCACAAATGGTATTGTTTCCATCCTAAAAATTTTTATCTGCTCTTTTTCTAGGATATAGTTTTACTAGAATTAAGAACTTTTTTTGTTTCTACAATAAAATGCCCATTAAGAACTCTCATCTTGGACTATAGTAACATTATCAGATTCCATAGAAAATGTTCTTGTCGATCTAACAATTTTGGTAATTCCTTTGTGTTAAATGTCAATCCTTAATACTTGGTCAAGCATTGGCAAAAATTCAGTTCACACTCTTTTCTATGACCAATGCTGCCTTGTCAAGTGGAAGTGAATGGATATTTAAGCATTCTGGTGAGTGGTTTCAGGTTTGAGTGTTCTCTCCATCAGTAGAGATTCAAGTACTCAACCTGTTGATGCTGTTCAACATGAAACTTCAAATAAAAAGATGTAGCTTCTATAGATCAAAGAGATACGTATAATTAGAAAGCCTATAGACAGAGAAGAGAGTGACTAGAGAGGGAAGCTTAAGAGGAAGAGTTCGAATCGTCCATATAATCTCTCCTCATAAAGCACAGTGACACTTCATCCCTCTTTGAGAATATTATGAAACAAACAAGGGTTTTTTTTTGCCGGGCATCTTTTCAATTTAACTCACAATTTCTACAACTGCGATGACCCTGAACACAAAAACAAACTAGAAGAAAAAGGGAGAAAAGAGAACTAACACTCCCAAGTTTGGAATCACAGCCAAATGAAACCAGTCAGAGCAGCCAGATCGACGACTAAAATAAACCAGAAAGAGTAACCGGGTGTCACCATCAGAGAGAGGGCAAGCTGACACATATCGTGATCGTCAGTATCTGTTTTTTTACTTGCTTTCCAGTTTGGGAAATAGGGTATGGAACTGTGCGACCTTTCAACTTCCTTTACGAAATACTACTATATTTTATTTATGCTTCTTTTCTTATTATATTATTAAACAATGCAATTTTTTTTTCACTGCCCAAATTATGTTCCAATTTTTAATTTTCTAGATTTCTTTTAATTTGGATAGGTGTAATCCTACGGTGAATATATTTTTTTTTCTTTTTTAATAAAATAAATTAAAATCCAACGACAAAGATAGCTTCTGGTAACTATAAACTTGATCCAATCGAGTTGGATAATAAACAAGACAAGCAACAACAATTCTTCCTTAATAAAGTAAAAGAAATAAAATCTAACAATTAACCAACTTCCATAACTTATTGAATTACTACAAGAACAACGGTAACTCCAACGATTTTATCCAGGAAATCCCCAATGGCAAATACAAAGTCATACAGCAACATGGTACTTAGAGACACTAACTTGCTCCATCTCATGCAAAGTTACCTCCGACACTAACTTCCTCCATCTCCATATAATCCTCTGTAAAGTTACCTCAGACACTAACTTGCTCCATGTCCATATCATCTCCTGCTAAGTTACCTCCCAATTCAAGATCTTCAATACCTCACAATTCAAAATCTTCAATCTCTTCAACTATAACAAGAGCTGTGAAGAAGGTAGTTGAAAAAACATTTAATTAGACTCTATAGTAGTGCACCCCATAGAGATATGATAATGAGAAAACAATAGGCTGCTAAGAAATGTGAGAGTGGTAAAACAAATGACACAAGGATTGACAGAGCTAGGAGAAGAGAAAATTTTCCAGGACGCCAGAAGATGGGACGACCCGTACTAATAGGGAGTGTGATGGATGCGAAGAGGAAAACTAATAGTAAAAGAAGAGCAAGAATCGATAATGGGATAAATAGAAATGAAAATCTAAGAATGTTTTCAGTTTGGGGTTTCACTAATAGAAAGAAAATTTTTGGCAGTGGCAAGAAAAAAAGCCTCAAATCAATGGAGAAAGTCATGGTTGTCAATGTTTGAGCAAAGAAGCAAAAAGGTTGATGTAAGAGCAAAGAAGCAAAAGGATTGATATAATTTTATAGTAATCAAGAGAAAACGTATGCTTCGGGTTAAGAAAAAAAGCTTCTGTAACCCCGCCTGGAGAAATTCAACAATCAATAATAGCAATAGAGAAATCCAAAACGACGCCGCGAAGAGTGAGCCTAGCTGACATGGCATACTCCAAGTAACTTCCAATTAGGAATAGGGATCCAAAACGAATAGTGAAGACAATCTCATGTATAACAAAGTTATCATCCGCTGGAGAAATTCAACATCCAATAGCAATAGAGAAATCCAAAAAGAAGCCGCGAAGAGTGAGCCTAGCTGGCATGGCATACTGGATTCACTGGAAGGGTTCCAAGTAACTTCCAATTAGGAATAGAGAAATCCAAAACGAAGAGTGAAGACGATCTCATGTATAACAAAGTCACCATCCGCTGGAGGAATTCAACATCCAATAGCAATAGGAATTCAACATCCACTTTTTTTAAATCCCCCCACTTTAAATTAGTCATAGAAAAGACAAAAGTGTGTGAACTTAAGCAAGTACTTTGTATTAAGGAATGACATTTAACACAGAGGAATTACCAAAATTGTTAGATCGACCTGAGCATTTTCTATGGAATCTGGCAATCTTCCTGTTAATCAACTGGGGATGTTCACAAAATACCCTAAACCCAAACCTGTAAATGTATTCCTGCAAATTTTTTAAAATCAGATATATCATGCAAATGTAGCACACACAAACAATAAATCCAAATCCATTGGGTAATATTATCAAACACTGCAAAAGCTTACCTTGTCAAAAGTGAAAACTCTATCTATTTGCTTGTTAGCTACATTTTGCATGACAGTGACTTCCCTCTTATGTTCATTACATGATATCACTCTTGGAACATTTAACCTTTGCTCATTGTAGCTCAATGGCCTGATCTATACAACTGAATGAGAAAATTAGGGGTCATGTTACATGATATCTGCTTGCAATTTTACATTTTGTTTTTCAATTATATCATAAATCCAGCATCCAAAAAATGTGAATATGTTAAATTCCAAATAGTCATCAAAACTTGGCCCATTTAATAAATTTGCACAAAAGACCTGAAAATTGAAACGAACCTGCATCTTAGGAGCACTTGCACATTAATCTCTTACTCTTTGTCGAGATGATTGGAGTTCCACTCAGAACATCTAGAATCTGGGCGACGCCGTTCAAGCCGAGGCGTGAGAAAAGGAGTTGGAGATGGTGTTAACCCCATTCCTACTTTTCTAAATTGATCGGGAGTAACTGACATCATGATGTTCTTATCTTTATATTTTATACCTAATACAACAAAACAAACGCACACAAACCATTGTTCTCCTCTGAATTTCTCAGTAATCGAACCAAAAAAAAAAAAAAATTAAAAACACTTTTAAGTTTCAGTACTCAAAAACGGCACTCACCAAATTTTTAATGAAAACCCTCGATTGATCGAATAACTGGAAGAAGAATTGATTGGAAAGAGCCTTTGACTGGTCGTGGTTTTGTGTTCTTGTTTTCAGAATCCTTTCTGTGATCGAAAATTATGCTTTTGTTTAGATTTTTGAAAGTGTGTTGCGATTGAAGTGGTGAAATGAGGTTTTGAATCTCTAACGGCTACTTGTATGTTTGTATGCAGAAAATAGCCCTTGGAAAATTTTCGCCTTTTTTTTTTTTTTGTGGAATAAGTGGGACCCTTGGAGTAAAAATTCAAACGAGACGTGTCACGTTGTCACCTAATTGCGATTTTGCTTTCGAAAAAGATGGCGTCCTGTACAAAATTTTGAGGTATTTCCAGAAATTATTGATGGGTAAAATTCAACTTATTTCCCTGCAAAAAGTAGAGATGTTAAGGGCTGATAAGTTTTTGGAACATTTATGAAATTAATGGAGAAAACATAAATGGTTGATTTTGATTATTATTCAAGATTGAATTGTCTTCTTTGTTCCTTCATTATATATTTTTAAAATAGTACTACACTTATAAAGTCTTTATATAATGATATAAGTATAAAGTGATGTATCATATCATAATTGGGAGAATGAACTAAAGTCAAATTCATTCTCTCAATTATGGTATGATACATCACTTTTGTTATGCCTAAAAAATCAGGATTGACGTAGACTCACGTTAGCAAGGGTTAATCAGAGTTCAGGAAGACAGTGTGTCCTCCAAGGACAGAAGGAGTAAGACTGTCATCAACTTAGCAAGTAAGAGTATGGCCAGTGAATGGCTAGGAGTCATATACTTGTCCAATCCTTGCGTGATTTAAGGA